AAACCAGCTCTAGCTATTTAAACCAGGGTTTACACCGGGTTTAGCCATTTAAACCAGGGTTTAAAACCAGCTCTAGCTATTTAAACCTGGGTTTAGTCCAGGTTTCTCTGGGTTTACTTGGTTCAAACCAGAGTTTGGATTCATTTTAAGCCAGTTTTCTTTGGGTTTACTGGGTCAATATTGGTTTAAACCAGAACTTACACCGGGTTTCTCTGGGTTTAGAGGGTCAATATGGGTTTAAACCAGGGTTTGGACTCATTTTAAACCAGATTTCTTTGGGTTTATTGGGTCAATTTTAGTTTAAACCAGGGTTTAACCTGCCCCACCGGCGTCCAGCTGCTGGAGGACCAGACCACCTGCCGGGACGGTAGGGACCGGGGGGGGGGTTACACTGGGTTTACTGGGTATTTAGGGTTTACACCGGGTCAATTTTAGTTTAAACAAGGACTTACGCCTAACCTGAAGCAGGATTTACACCGGCTGTAGCCATTTAAACCAGGATTTAATCCAGGTTTCTCTGGGTTTAGGGGGTAAATATCGGTTTAAACCAGGGTATATATAGTTTACTTTGGGTTTAGATGGATCAATATTTAATTTAATGTGACTTTTTGAGTGTAAACCATGGTTTAAAACTGGCTTTAGCTATTTAAACCAGGGTTAGGTTCATTTTAAACCAGTTTTATTTGGGTTTAGAGGGTCAATATTGGTTTAAACCAGGGTTTAATCTGCCCCACCGGCGTCCAGCTGCTGGAGGACCAAACCACCTGCCGGGACGGTAGGGACCGGGGGGGTTAGCCAGGGTCTGGGTATTCAAACCAGGGTTTAAAACCAGCTCTAGCTATTTAAACCAGGGTTTACACCGGGTTTAGCCATTTAAACCAGGGTTTAAAACCAGCTCTAGCTATTTAAACCTGGGTTTACACCGGGTTTAGCCATTTAAACCAGGGTTTGAAACCAGCTCTAGCTATTTAAACCAGGGTTTACACCGGGTTTAGCCATTTAAACCAGGGTTTAAAACCAGCTCTAGCTATTTAAACCTGGGTTTACACCGGGTTTAGCCATTTAAACCAGGGTTTGAAACCAGCTCTAGCTATTTAAACCAGGGTTTACACCGGGTTTAGCCA